GGTACAATAAGTCTAGAGCTTCAGTACAAGTGGGCTTTGAACCACGCCCTAATTCAGATGATGATGATGATGAAGGTAGGCCGTGCTTCCTGCAACTACAGGTGTTCAGATTACAATCTCTTTTGCATCCACAGAATATTAGTTCCATAATATTCTTTTTCAATTGGGTCTGGAAAACCTCGATGAAGAAGTTCAGGGCCAGGTTAGGGCGCACCAAGTGTTCGGGGGATCGTTTTCCACATGAAATTCGGATTCAGCGCCCCAAAAAACCCCTCCGGAAACCCCTCGGGGATGACGTTCAGGGACAAGTTCCGGTGCACCAGGTGTTCAGGGGGTCGTTTTCGACGTGAAATTTAGATTCAGCGCCCCAAAAATTTCCGCTCAATCATTTTCGGGTTGTTCTTGTCGATATTTGTTTTTTTAGAAAGATATATTCAGAAATTTTGAATAAATATAAGGAAAGTGTCTCGAGAATTGAAAGTGTTCGTGATAAGGTCCTAAAATATAAGTAAACATCTTTCAGAATAAAACGACTCATCTATTATATATAAAAGACATTCGTCTTATATGGGTTTACATAAAATCAACATCGTAGAGTATTCGATATATTTTAACCTCAATTTTTATTGAGATCATCTTTTAAATAAATTGACTCTCCAATAAATCAAAATATAAAAATAAGTAATTTTTCTACGATATCTAAGACACATAGAATTACAGTGGTCCATCTCCATGTAGGGCTTTTTTAAAATATTAAAGTGTTTTTCAAAATTTATTACATAGAAAATTTTTTGTTTTGAAAAACTATTATGGAATGAGTACCGCTATGTTTCGGTCAAAAAAGGGTAAAATATATTTTATTTTAAATCGAGGGTAGCTATATGAAAAAAAAGCGGAGTAACGACCGCTTTAGACTACACAATCTCTTGTACTAGATTTGATACAATTTCTTGTACAATTTAAATTGTGTAATATTATACAGTAGATTGTGTGAAAAATCCAATTTAAATTGTACAAGAAATTGTATCAAATCTAGTACAAGAGAGTGTGTAGTCTAAAGCAGTCTTTGGACCTCTAGAGTTGCCACCTGTCCTTTTTTGAAGCAAAATGACCTTTTTACGGCAACTGGCCTGTTTTTTTACGACAAATCTTTTTTTTTTGGAAGGAACATGGTTTGTACAAAAATAAATGAGAACCTATTTATTTATTATGTGCCTCATTTATCTAAAATAGGTAGGTTTTATGTTTTGAAATATTAGCTATATAATTTGATGGGCGTAATAGTATAAATTATAAATGAATATTTTCCTTAATTTCCTCCTGATATTTTATATTTGTTGGAAAACGATTTTAATCAATAATTATTCGCATACACGTTCCGCGACAGATAGGCAACCAAACATACTACCGAGTTCATTAAAACTATAAAAGGTGTTTACAGAAAAAACCCTGTTGGAATTTTTTCTTTAACATTGTATAAAAATATTTCACGAGCACATATTTTTTTAAGAAAATGCATTTGTTTACCTTTGGAAACGGGTATAATGTTTCAAATTGTCCAGTTTTAAAAAATTTGTTGGTATAATGCTAGAAGTTCATGAAAATTATATTTTAATGTTTGATGAAATAGCCTTTAAATGTAAAACTTTAACATTGTATAAAAATAGTTCAAGAGCACATACTTTTTTAAGAAAATGTATTTGTTTACCTTTGGAAACAGGTATAAATGTTTCAGTTTTTCCAGATTTAAAAAAATTGTTGATACAATGCAAGAAGTTCATGAAAATTGTATTTAAATGTTTGATGAAATAGCCTTTAACTATAAAACTTTAACATTATATAAAAATAGTTCAAGAGAACATACCTTTTTAAGAAAATGCATTTTTTACCTCTGGAAGCGGGTATAAATGTTTCAATTTATCCAGATTTGAAGAAATTGTTGATACAATGCAAGAAGTTCATGAAAATTGTATTTAAATGTTTGATGAAATAGCCTTTAACTATAAAACTTTAACATTATATAAAAATAGTTCAAGAGAACATACCTTTTTAAGAAAATGCATTTTTTACCTCTGGAAGCGGGTATAAATGTTTCAGTTTGTCCAGATTTAAATAAATTGTTGGTAAAACGCCAGAAGTTGATGCAAATTATATTTAAATGTTCGATGAAATAGCCTTTAACTGCAAAACTATAAAAAATAGTTCAAGAGCACATACTTTTTAAAGAAAATGCATTTGTTTACCTTTGGAAACAGGTATAAATGTTTCAGTTTGTCCAGATTTAAATAAATTGTTGGTAAAACGCCAGAAGTTTATGAAAATTGAATTTAAATGTGTGATGAAATAGCCTTTAAATGTAAAACTTTAACATTGTATAAAAATAGTTCAAGAGCACATACTTTTTTAAGAAAATGCCTTTGTTTACCTTTAGAAACGGGTATAAATGTTTCAGTTTTTCCAGATTTAAAAAAATTGTTGGTACAATGCAAGAAGTTCATGAAAATTGTATTTAAATGTTTGATGAAATAGCCTTTAAATATAAAACTTTAACATTGTATAAAAATAGTTCAAAAGCACATACTTTTTTAAGAAAATGTATTTGTTTACCTTTGGAAACAGGTATTATTGTTTCAATTTATCCAGATTTGAAGAAATTGTTGATACAATGCAAGAAGTTCATGAAAATTGTATTTAAATGTTTGATGAAATAGCCTTTAACTATAAAACTTTAACATTATATAAAAATAGTTCAAGAGAACATACCTTTTTAAGAAAATGCATTTTTTACCTCTGGAAGCGGGTATAAATGTTTCAATTTATCCAGATTTGAAGAAATTGTTGATACAATGCAAGAAGTTCATGAAAATTGTATTTAAATGTTTGATGAAATAGCCTTTAACTATAAAACTTTAACATTATATAAAAATCGTTCAAGAGAACATACCTTTTTAAGAAAATGCATTTTTTACCTCTGGAAGCGGGTATAAATGTTTCAGTTTGTCCAGATTTAAATAAATTGTTGGTAAAACGCCAGAAGTTGATGCAAATTATATTTAAATGTTCGATGAAATAGCTTTTAACTGTAAAACTATAAAAAATAGTTCAAGAGCACATACTTTTTAAAGAAAATGCATTTGTTTACCTTTAGAAACGGGTATAAATGTTTCAGTTTTTCCAGATTTGAAGAAATTGTTGATACAATGCAAGAAGTTCATGAAAATTGTATTTAAATGTTTGATGAAATAGCCTTTAACTATAAAACTTTAACATTATATAAAAATAGTTCAAGAGAACATACCTTTTTAAGAAAATGCATTTTTTACCTCTGGAAGCGGGTATAAATGTTTCAATTTATCCAGATTTGAAGAAATTGTTGATACAATGCAAGAAGTTCATGAAAATTGTATTTAAATGTTTGATGAAATAGCCTTTAACTATAAAACTTTAACATTATATAAAAATAGTTCAAGAGAACATACCTTTTTAAGAAAATGCATTTTTTACCTCTGGAAGCGGGTATAAATGTTTCAGTTTGTCCAGATTTAAATAAATTGTTGGTAAAACGCCAGAAGTTGATGCAAATTATATTTAAATGTTCGATGAAATAGCCTTTAACTGTAAAACTATAAAAAATAGTTCAAGAGCACATACTTTTTAAAGAAAATGCATTTGTTTACCTTTGGAAACAGGTATAAATGTTTCAGTTTGTCCAGATTTAAATAAATTGTTGGTAAAACGCCAGAAGTTTATAAAAATTGAATTTAAATGTTTGATGAAATAGCCTTTAAATGTAAAACTTTAACATTGTATAAAAATAGTTTAAAAGCACATACTTTTTTAAAAAAATGCATTTTTTACCTTTGGAAACGGGTATAAATGTTTCAGTTTTGTCCAGATTTATAGACATTGTTGGTACAATGCCAGAAGTTCATGAAAATTGTATTTAATGTTTGATGAAATAGCCTTTAAATGTAAAATTTTAAAATAGTTCAAAAGAATATGCTTTTTAGAGAAAATACATTTTTTACCTCTGGAAACGGGTACAAATGTTTCAGTTTGTCCAGATTTAAATAAATTGTTGGTATAATGCCAGAAGTTGTTCCAAATTTCATCTTTCTAGACTTTACTAAGTAAGTACAAACGATTTTAAATATTTAGATATTAGGTTTTTTTTAGAGTAATGAATGCCTAAAAATATATATAATATAATCAATTTTTGATTTAACCGCGGTTATGTTAACACTTTTTTTTTTATTCTTCTGTTTCTTATTCAGCCTCTAATTGTACGTTAATCAGCCATCGTAGGCATTAAAAAAAAATCTGTTTACTAAAAATTATTTTATGAAGGTACTTATACTCTTATAATCGAGAAATATTTATGACAAATGACAATATATTATTCAGCAGCTTTTGTTTTAACGATTAAAAAAGATTTTGGATTGTAAAAAATTGTGTCAAATTTTCAAACTTTTTTACTATTTTTAAAATAAATAAAAATAAAAAACTTAATTTTTCCTACCCCTGTACTATATATAGGATGGCAAAGTAGGTGGAACATTTTTCAAACTGCGCATGCGCGACAATAGCTCTGAAATTTGCATATGTCAGTTGTTTAATTTCATTCAATTTACATTAGAAACATAATCAGCGCCGACTAGAGGGGGGGGGGTAGCCGGGACTAATTCCCGGAGCCCGGGCTTAAATGGAGGCCCGGTAGCGTTGTAAGGGGGCCCGGTAGCGCTGCAAGGGGGCCCGACAACAGCATTTTGTATGAGAAATACAAATACGACACAAGTTTTGGCTGACCTTTTTTTTTTTTAAAGGAGAATAGCTTTTTGATGTGAGGACTTTTTTTTTTTAGAAGAAGCAATTGAGAGGTAGGGAGAATAGTTTTTTTTTTGTTTCATGGGGCCCGATCTAGAGAATTGTCCTGGGGTCCGGCCTGGCTCATCAGTAATATACTTTCGAAGTAAGAATAATAATTGAAAATATAAACTTACCGATATGAATATGTAGATATAGCTTAAAGTGGCATCACATTTCGAGGTTCATCTTCTATATCGATGCATTCTTCTTCTAATAAACATGGCGGATCCTAAAATAAAAGTTTTGTATCAAATATCATGGAAGAATTTTAAATTAACCAAAAAATAATATCAGTAAATCAATATTAATTTATTTGTTGCAATAAGAAAATTTGTGAATACTTTATTCAACCTCCCAGGGGACCATTAAATAAAAATGTTTTCTCTATGCCTAAAAATGGTAATTGATCTAATAACACATTTGATATAAATAAACTTCTTTATTTCATCTTATATAAATTAATAAAAATTTTGACATAATTTGAAAAACTCCGAATGGTGGGATATCTATAAATAGATCGGCAACAAAAAAAAATATATATATATAACTCTAATGGCCTTTTACTTCCAATACGATCCTGTTTAGCGGCAGTCAGTAGAAATGTGATAACTACAGCATCCGGGGATAACTCGGAAACTGTACTCTGGGGAAATTTACCAACAATACTCGGTATCGTCTGTTCACAGCATACGCCATATTTCAGTAGAACCTGTGTTGCCAATAACGTAAAGTTGTTAGAGAAACAGCAGTTAGTAATGGAAAAACAAAAATCCATATACATATCACTATAAAACAAATTTTACCTGAACCCTCAACAGTTGATGATAAAAAATGATTCACAATTCTATTGGGCAATATTCATATTTTGAATATGGGATAAACTTCAACTATAACGACTATTTTGAATCAAAAGTAGGCTCAAAAACAACCAAAACAAATTTATATTTTAAATTTAAATAGTTTTAAAACGTAGGAAGTAACATAACCTCAAATTCAATGTTTTGCTGGATAATTTATTTGAATTAAAAAAAATGCCTTTTGTTTAGGGCTTCGTCATATATGTCGCTTTTCAAAAAGATTCCGTCGGCAAAAAAGTTTGAAAAACACTGCTCTAGATGAAGATTGAACATTAATTTTGCATTTGAGCTCAGCCTATTCCGCAACGTTCTCAAAAAATCCATTTTTTTTAAAGTATCCTTAAAAAAATGCAAGCCCGATAGTCCAGGAGCAATTGAACATCAAGACATCGAACTGTTATAACTTTATTCTAATTTTTCATAAGTAAATATACTCTATCTCCTGGTCTATAATGGCTTTATGGTTTCCGCGGCATGCCCCTTATAGAGCTTTTGTTTGTTCACCATAAAGCTCTGTACACAATGGTTTTAAAGCTTCCTCTCTTACGAAGACATTATATATAAGCTTTCTCGTTTCCTTTTATCATATTCGAGTATTATTCTTTTTTGCATTTTTATGAAAAGCAATTCAGCAATTATTGTTTTATGATACGCAATATTTTTTTGTAAAATAATACTATCGACTGGCAAAATTGAATAAAATTTTAATGAATGTATTTGAAACTATTAAAGAGTATTTTATTTTCTAATAGCCAATGCGAAATTGAGTAATTTTGAAGGTCTAAATAGTCATCTAGGGTGGATATTGTTACAGATCATTAACAAACATTAAAAAAGTTAGAGGGTCTAAATTGGAGTCATGAGGGACCCCAGAGCCTGTGCTTTATATATATATATATATATATATATATATATATATATATATATATATATATATATATATATATATATATATATATATATATATATATATATATCTAAAGGATTTATGAGAATTTCTGAGATATACAGGATTTATAAAGATTTTCGAGCAATCTAATTAAAAAATTTCGTGGTTTTTCGAAATAAAGACGTTGTCGTCGAAAGTAAAAATGTTATCGATCAAATTTGGAGGTATTACATTTGATTAAACCTAATATTTTCAGATACCGTAGCTGAAAAAACAACTGTATCTACAAAATTGCATATTTTGCATTACAGAAAAGCAAAATTAAACATCGAAACCAAAAACTGATTGACTTAGCTAGCAGCGCTTAGTAAACTGAATATGTAGATAATAAATTTTTGGTTACGTGTTCATTTAAAGCGGTCTGGATTCTGCTGTAGCATAAATTTAATTTCCAAACGGCTCCGTTTCGCTGCCTTTAATACAAATCCTCCATATTTACTCTACTAATTAAGTTTCTGTACAATTTGTATTTCGAAACAGTGCAATGCCATAATCGGCGTATGTCCGCATGAAGACAATTTAATTATTTAAAAATTACCGGCAACATATTTTGTACTTAAATAATGTTATAATTAAAATTTAACAGGCATAAAATGACTTGAGAAAATGGAAATTGTTAATTAAGGAAAAGTATATTAAAAATTTGGTAATAGGTCGACTGCGGTTGGCTTCCAGTATTTATTACATGAATATTTACTAGACACACCCTGTAAAATTTTTGGGTGCGGTGTTCTATGAGTTGAAGGGGTTTCAAGCTATTGCATAGCTTTTATCGCGAGCTTTGAACGTGGCGACTGAATCAAGAAATTTCCCCACTCCGACCGGCACAGCGGTGCGGCGTTGAAAGCCGTGCATCGTCTAACGTCGTTTCAATTCGGCAGACTTCGGCACGGTGTTTGTGTGCGTGCGACTAGACGTATGCGTGTAGACTAGCTGCCAACTGCTCATAACTGATTCTATCTCTTTTAGACAATATTTCGGAAAAATTGAATTTGAAAATGAATAATGATCCACAAGAATCCACAACAAAATATGGGACCACCATTGACGCGGTATTTACCAGATATTTAGAGTCTAAAACTTATGTTTCTTATTTCAGTTACCATAAACCTATAGTTTCAATGATAAAAATTCCTGAACAACCTACATGTATTGTAAGATAATAAAAATAGTTTAAACAATATTAACTTCTCATTTATTCAATAAAAGAAAAAAATTTGTTTTCTTATCGGTCACCACGCTCAAAAAGTGTAACTTGAATTAATATCATAGAAAAAACTTGAATTAATATCAAAGAAAAAAAAAATACTGCATAAATAAAATAAATAAATAATTATAATTGCATAAGTTGATAAAAAATGCTAGCAATAGCTTTACCGCGGCAGTCTCCGAGTGCCTCACGTATTTTTTTTATAAAAAAAGTATTTTCGCCGGTATTTAATTGTAAAACTTTAATTTAAACACCCGGTATATATAGATTAAACACCGACTAGACGTAAAATCTGGTCGGACGGTAGACTGCAATTCAAATTATGTATTTTTTTCATAGGGAAATACACCTACGGTTAGGTTAGATAGATCTAAATTAGTCTAATTTAGTCTAATTTAGATCTATCTAACCTAACCGTAGGTGTATTTCCCTATGAAAAAAATACATAATTTGCAACTGAAAGACGTGCTATTCAGTGGTATACGGACGGTTCCAAAACTTATTATTATTATAATTTGAATTGAATATATTTGAAAAAAATGCCTCAATATATTCAAATTATGTACTTTTACTTTCCTATCTATATACATATATATAAGAAAAGTATAGGAATCATGATTTTTTTTTCGACCTCCATTTTTTGACGGATTTTTACGTTTTGAGGTCCCCTGAATCCGTTTTAACTATTTTCGCGATGATGTATTTTTTTAATTATTTTTCTTCATTAAAATTAATTTTACTTAACTTTTTCATGGAAATTTCTGAAATAAACTTAACAAAAACCAATAAAAATTACAATTACAGATCCGTACTTAAGAAAATTTAGATGATTCATATTCATTTAATATTATTTAATTTTTACATTTTTATATAAAAAAATTGAAGATTTCCACATCACCAAGAGGTGGAATATATAGCGTGTTTTTTTATTGTGGTATCCCCAATAGGCCTAATCCACACAAATATGATGGTGGGTGAGATTTTCTAGGCCACAGCAAATAATAATAGCCGTCCCTTTCCCAGATAAGCTCAGCTTTTGGGGTTAAAATTCACTCGTAGGGGGGTGAATTAGGGAGAGTATTATTATTATTATCATCAAAAGTTATGGGCCAAATTGTAAATCGGTTATAAAGATAGCAAGACCCATACTATATAGGTTTTTTGGGATCCCCTGGGTGACCTTTCCCTTTCCTATGAAACGCCCTGTATATTTATAACATAGTTATTTTATGAACGAGTCAATTTACATATGTGTCTATAAATTTGTGATCTTAAAATCAGATGAGTTTCGTTGAATACATTTCAGTCGAGAGAAACTTGCAAACGTATCGTTATTTTTGGTTAATAGCAGCGCCACTCTTTAATTAAATGCTAATTTTTCATTTTAACTTCTGGTGTAGTGGCTCATTTTTGGCGTTAACTGCACGTTACGTTTCGAAAACTCCTACAACCGTTCATTTATTAACGGTAGAAAATGAAAGAGGAGATTTCCACAAACTGTGTATAATTTCACTATAAAATAAATATTTATACATGCCTAGAAATTCAACAGTAGGTATCCGTATATTTAAAATTGATAAACGTATACTGGTTATATCACTATACTCTATCACTTTTTAACACTGTTCCCCACGTTTCCAATCACTTTAAGTCCGAAAATACAAAAGCTAAATAAGTATGCAAAGGGTAGATTGACTTTCAATTTTGATTTTACTTGATATTTTCTTCCAGCAAAAAACCATATCGATTTTTAGAATTTTCTGGTTAAATTTAGTAATTTAAATTGTTTAAGTAAAATGTATAACACCTTGTATTTTAAAGATTAATTATAGATTATTTCCCTAGTCTGTGATCAAGAAGAAACAGCTATAACATATTCGATGAGAGTTTCACATGAAACAAACTTTGTACATAGAAAGTAAATTACAAAATCAATAAACTGAAAATTGTGCCATCCTCATAAAATCTGCAGATGTTTCAACTTCTAAATGTAATTTTCTCCGATAGAACGGATGCTATATTCAAAGGGGAGAATTTTATTATCTACCTTCCCAGACAGTTTCATTTTAGAGCAATCGTACATTTTGGTATGAAATAAGAGTTATTTGCATTATTTACATTTACTTCAAAAATTTGTGGATAGAGTTAGAACAACTGTACTCAACCTTTTCTTTCGGGCTACATAAATGTTATGATACACGGACCACAATATTTTTGGGTGATAACGAGAGTTTAATAAGCTAATAACCTAACTCACATTCAAAATAATATACTGCTTTTAAAATCACGACTTTTGAATCATCAGAAAACCTCTTCAAGAAATTTGAATTCAAAATGACAAACAATGACATACATTGACAAATCTTTATGATTGAACAACTGTTTCGCGATAAAATAATTCAACATTCTTTTTTCTTAGTATTTTTGTTTTGTTTCACTCAATCTGACAAGCTAAAGAAGGATGGTACTATTCTACTGGGGTAAAAAACTAAAAATACGAACAAACCTGTTTAATGAATCAGAGATTTCGGTGAAATCAATTAGTTTATTTACAACTGTCAATGTTATAGAAAAATATTTTCTTTTTACTTTTTTTTTTGTATTTTTGTCTTTCCTATGGAGAGGGATACTTCATTTCAATACACCAATGAGCCACAGATCAGTGAAAGTAACGTTAATGTCGAAGATGCACCGGACGAACATATCAATGAGGCAGACATTGCTAACGAAGTATGTCAGGTAGCTGTAGCCCGGTCGTTTAGAAAAGCTGTTAAAGTTGCTCTCAAAATGGAAACCCTAAATCACAATGAGAAAAAATCCTATACCGACTTACTGTCCCTACCAACAAAGTGAGTAATGTATGAATTTGAGGCGCCATTTAAAAATATTTAACCCTCTGTAAAAGGAGTTGATTTTGCATCTGTATAACAAGGTAGGGAAAAAATTGTATAATTCAGTTGAATTCCTAAACTGTCAATCTGAATACGATCTAAAAAAGTTCCCCATATATGTGCATTGCATTATCCAGTGACTAAGAGACTTCTTAACTCCTCAACCATCTTAGTTCTATAAAGTAGTTGATAACGACATCGAAAAGTGTCTGTCTTTGATTCATTAATGGCAGAAACAACCTGGAATTTAATCTCGATGCTCCAGATGGAAAAATATTGATAATTATTTAAAACATTCTAATCTTGTATCTATTCTTTTTAGAATGTACTTAGATAGCACCCTGGTACCTGCTTTGGCTAATGGAATAGCACACGTCGTCCATGAAAGACCTATCAGTCCTATAAAAACACTAGCCGTTTTTTTATTGAAAAATAAAAGTATTTACGAAACAGAAGCCGAACTGGAAGAATCTAGAGGTGCCGCAAGTGCAGCCAAATCCAAATCAAGATTTGCAGCTATAGCTTCAAAGATTATTTCTTCCTATAGAGTATAAGTAGATCGAAAGATTTAGATGTCAATTTCTACATTTATATTATAAAGCATTATGTGTAATAAACGAACGATAATAATATATATTGTACAATGATCCGAGCTGATTAGGGATGTTTATAGAAATATAAAGTGATGTAAAATCTTACTGGCGTTATTATTGAACTATTATACGTTAAGTTCGGCACATCTATTGAAAAAGTAGTTTGTGCAACAAGAGGGTATGATGCTCAATTTTCTAAGTGACAACCAAATACTCTAGTCTCACCTCCATAACCACACATAAAACTTTAGTTACAATATTTGTAATTAAATTGATTTCACAAAGACGAAATAAAAATAGATATGCCATTATTTATTGATGAATAACTCATTTTAATGTATATTTAACCCCAATAACTAAAAACTATACTGACAATTAATTTGACAGAATTATCACTTATTTAACATTTAAAAATATGAACTGTGATTGGTGGAGTTCATTGTTTTGCAGTGTTTTTACTAAGTAGAATGGATATGAAATATATTCGTTCTGCTTTATTAATTGGAGTGTCTCTTAAAAAATAATTACTTTCCTTTGAAATACGCAACTAATGAAGGGGATGTAATACGTACGTATACATACAAAGAGGGTAGTTATTAGAGCATGAACCAACCTTAATGCAATATGCTGTATGTACGTATACAATGGGCACTTCAGCGAACGACCACCGCAAAGTGCATTGAGAAAATGGCATTGTTACATTATTGACCAATTAAATTACTTGCAGTGTCCTAAGTTGCATTGTTTCTCTTAGACATATAGAGTACCAGAAAACTAAAATGTATGTATCTATATAAGTTCCATGAGCTTTAAATCCAAAAGAAATATTGAACGGGATACTTTATTTAACTATGTTATTTAGGGCAAAAAATAGAATAATTATAAGTTAAAAACAATAAAAATCTGATACGTTCAACAAATGACTTTCCTATCTAGTTATTATAGGCTTTTCCCATTATTTTGTACGACCTCTTATACTACTCCACCGCTGGACAATCTTAGAGGATGAACTAAATATATAAATTTTCCACACATTTTTTTTTTAAATATTTTTTTCAAAATATGGACCAAATAAAAATTCTATAATTTATCGATTCTACACAAAATAAATCTTTTTAATGTATATTTAATCTTATTAACTAAAAAAAAAAAAAAAAACAATTAGTTTGACAAAATTTTAAAAATATGATTGGTGGATTTCTTTTTTTTTTCAGTGTTCTCACTATCTAGAATGGATATGAAATATATTCGTTCAGATGAACGCAATTATATACTTTTCTGTTATGTAATCTGAGCGTAGATAAACTGTGGGTGTAGAAAAAATAATTATTGTTATTACTATTAATTTTTTTACACCTAAACGCAATCTGTAAACATTATCTTGAAAAATCGTTAATTAACAAATCAATTACCTCTTCACTCCTGTTATTTGTATTGATAAGATAGGCATATTAAAATTATATTGTTTGCGAATTTTATATAAAAACCATATTGAGAAGATTATTTATCTATATCGAAATCAAAATCATGAAGTCTGTAACTTGTGGAGTATTTTTCCTATTTGTGGGTAAGTATAATGTGTGCAGTAGAACCGTTAAAAAATTTTATATGTTTAAACTTTTTATTCATTCATTTTATTTATTTATAAAATACGTATGCTGTGCTGATTATTTTTTCGTAAGGAAAGCTGTTTCTGTACAGAAAGAATTCTATACCTATACATTACAAGGTCTGGTGTAGTGTAAATAAATTGTTTAAATCTATTTTTGTATTACTTTTATACAAAAAAATTATCGCGTATTTTTATTTTAATAAACTGTCATCTTTCTTATTTTAGTTATAACATGGGCCAGTGCAGTTCCAATGGAACAAAAGTAAGTAACTTTTTGGGAAAATACATATTTTTGCTAAATTCTGGATTTGGTTAGTACTAAACTAGTTTTTTTTTTCTTTAACTTTTGAACAGAAAGAAAATAAAAATTTTCATACATAAATTAAAAGATAAAAATAACGAGCTATTAAGAAAAATTATAATAAGGGGGCGTCCATTAATTATGTGAGGTATTTTTGAGGATTTTTGACCTCCCTTCTCCCCTAAGTGAGATTTGAAGAGATTTAGCTTGATCTCTTCCCCCCTCGAACACCTCACGTAATTAATGGATGCCCCTTACATAATCCAATGTTCAGTCAAAATGGACAAAAATGGTGGATGCTTGACAAAAACAACCATTTAAATTCACATGATTTGGATTGCCTAATTGGAGTTGAGTGTAAAATTTAAATCTGTTGAGCTGGTACTTTAGCCACTACCACATAATGAAATTTCAACCTTGAAATTAAAACTGAACGTTTCTATCAAATTTATAAAATCTTTTATTAGGAAAATTACATTTTAAAAAGCATAAATTTTCCAGTATTTTTTTTTGTAATATTTTTCATTATTTTCCTTTATAATAACATTAATTTATTATCCATATATTGCAGAATTAAAATGAGATACACAGATTGATCATATATTCGTGGGATGCACAAGGAATTGATGTTTCCGTCATGATTAAGCAATGTTGCCAACAGCAACATTCATATTTTATAAAATACAAAAAGTTAACATTATGTATATGTGTATTAATTTTTGTTTTAGAGCATTGAAGATCATTTCAAGCAATTCAAGAGGAAATGAATGTCAAATCTGTAAAATGTATTGTACAGATGTGAAGGTTGCTTTAGAAAATGGAGGAGGAATGGTAAGTAAAGTTTTAGAACTATAAAACAAAGTTAGTTTTTTTAATAATTTAAGTTATTTTTCAATTGCTTGTATTTTTAACAGATTTCTCAAATGCCGCAATATTTTTTTTTATATATATGTTTAGCGATAATTATTTATTGCGTTGTCTAATTTTTATTATTCTTTTTTTGTTGGAAAGGGGGTACCTCAGGGACTGTTTCATATAAATTTAGTAAAATTCTGATAATAGAATCCATGAGAAACCCATCAATATTTTTTTCTGTGTCTTTTTTGTTAGACTATGTTGCGAATATTACTATAATATATATAATTTGAATTTGGCGATTTTAGATTGCCATTCAAATGGTCGTCGCAGACATTTGTAGACTACTTCAATTTACTGATGAATTCTGCATTAATGTGGCTCAAGGAAGTACTGGGTGTATTCAAGAGATTGGCGCATTAATCGATCCTGATGTTATTTGTCAAAATTTGTGTAAATAAAGCATACAAATTATAATAAAATTAATATTTTAACGTTTGTACTATTTAATAAAAATTAGTTCTATCGTATTCATTGTTGTTCTTAACTATAAGAAAAATAATTTTGGAACTACAATCCACAATCAAGACTAGAAAACTTGCAAAACATGAAATAAAACGGCTCAATTTACTAATGGACTAAAATTTAAAACAAAATGTTATACTTTCTAAAATTTCTATATTTACACATGCAGTGAATAAAATAAAAGCAAAATACTAGAAACGTTTTTAAAACGAAACAAGATGAGCTTAGTGTTATGATTTTTTAAAGATAACTTTATTTATGAGCCAGTTTTGTTAATCCTGTCCAGTGGCGCAGCCACGGACGGTTTTGAGGGGTCAAATCTCACTCCTTCCCCCATCAAAGGCCTTCGCTGATAACTATTAACTGTTTGTTAACCCCCCATAGTTCTCAGAAACCCCTTTCATGAAAAATGTCTGGCTATGCCACTGATCCTGCCTTCAGCGTAAGGGAGCGTTCAAGTATTACGTAACGCAATTTTTTGGATATTTTTAACCCCCCTACCCCCATGTAGCGCGCCATAACGTTTTTCTATACCCCTCCCCCCGTAGTAAAACGTTACGTAACCACCAAGTGACTATTTTTACCTAAAAATCACAATTATGTCACTCCATTTGAAATTTTGAGAAAAAAAAAAACGTTTTTAAAAAAGCGTGTGAGAATAATGTTACGTAACGCGTAGTTCAAACCCCCCTCCCGTCCCTGTAACGCATCGTAACGTTTCACAAAACCCCCCTCCCCCCAAATTCGTTACGTAATACTTGAACGCTCCCTAAGTGGGAGATTACTGAACATTATTCCCTTTCGTTTATTTAGATTTTTCAATTCTTGACTAAACACATAATTGAGTGTATCATGTTTAAAAATTAAAAACGAGTAGCATATATTCTTCTCTATTCTTCTGTCACTGATTTAAAAACTGGAAAGCTGTAGAACAAGACGTTTCCAATCAATAAATACACTGAGAAAAATCTGTTAGACATACGTTTCTAAAAACCGAATAAGAATTTTGTATTTAAATACTTGAAATATATATTTATGTATAAATATACAGTGCGTAACAAAAATATGTAACCACAGTTTCTAGGATCGAAAATAAGTCGATTTAAGCTAAGTTGGTTGTAAAAAATATTGTTAGTAAAAAACTTAAAAGTGTTTTTTGCTCTTACTCTTAAACGGCTTAACATTTTCTTAAAATTAGCATACTATGAAAGTTACTGATCCCATATTTCGTCAATAGGAAAATAGGAGTTGACATGTCTACTGATTTAGAATCTGGAGTTGAACAAACTATAATTGATTGATTACCCATACAAAATGGACAGCAGTTACACAACAGAAGATATAATGAGCCAATCAATAAATCATGCATACGCTCTTCGGCCCCTGGGTAATTACAATATAATGCCGTAACTTCAAAATAGCGCCACATATGCCAACAAAAATTAGGCCGTATGGAGAGGACGCAAATAATGGATGACGAGCGGCGTTAAATAATAGCCGTTACCAACATAAGGTAAAAAAAATGTATAATGTAATGTTTTCCATGTTTCTATATAAATAAAATTATAAAATTTTCTTCAGTTTCTGCAAATTATACAAAATAAAAATGCTTTATTCCGGCGTCCAATGAAATGATTAGATTTTGGGCAGAGTCGGAACATCTGGGGGGTACTTTATTGATGGTCATTTTTATATTTTATAGAATATATCTGTTATTTACGTTTGGAGAAGAAAATTCTTCAAATAAAAGTTACTTACAATATTATTATCAATATTTTTTGTTCCATACAAAATTTTTATAAAATGGTCCGTATTCGAGAAATTTGACAAAATGTAAAAAATATTTTTTTATAAAAATTGTTCAAATAAAAGTTGATTGTAATATAATTCTCTATAATTTTTATTCTATATATAAATTCTCTAAAATGAACCGTATTCGAGATATTTGAGAAAATGTGTTAATTTCGAAATTTGAAGAAAACTCAAAAACGGATAAAGAAAAAACCATTAAATTTTAAACTTAAGTTTTATTTCGGCCTGACGTAAAATTATTAGATTTTGGACAAAGTCGGAACATCTGGGGGAGTACTTTATGGGAGGCCGTTTTTATATTTTATGGAATATATGTTATTTATGTTTGGAGAAAAAAATTGTTCAAATAAAAGTTACTTCTAATATTATTATCTATAATTTTTGCTTTATGTCAAAATTTCCTGAAATGGTCCGTATTCGAAAAATTTAACAAAATGTGCAAAATTCTGATTTTTATGAAAATTGTTGAACCAAAAGTTGTTTGCGATATCGATCTCTATAATTTTTGTTTATACATGATTTTTCTAAAATGAGCCGTAATGGAAAAATTGTAGGAAAAGTGCTAAATTTAAATTTTTCAGTATTTTCGTTTTCAATGATTATCTATAGAAAAATGTTTCGAGGTAGATGTATGTGGAAAATGTATATACTTAGTTTATCCTCCAAACATTTATAGAAATGCTGCAATGGGTTGCACAAAATAACCGGAAAAAAGCCTATAACTAGATAGGAAAGTCATGTGTTGGACACATCAGATTTTTTTATTACTCTTTAAAATAAATAGATCAAAATTTAAAGTATTCCAATCCCTACATCTACCCTTTCAATTAAACGTGAAAAAATTTTTTTTTCATTTTCATGATATGTATTTAAACACTCTACTCGTATATTCTGAATTTCCTGTGTCCTTAAAGTCAAATATAAACCTAGTGGTGGTAAAAATTAATTAAAAAAAAAATAATTGACTTTTACCTTAGAAAATAATTAATTCTTAAGGTAAGGAAGCATTTTCACATTTTAAGAACGCACTCTATATGATAATGTTGTCGATAGAACTTAAAAATACTGCTTGATTAGTTTGATCAATTTAATTGCAGATATATACAATACCTTTTGAGAAAGAAAGAAAATCAGAATGGCCGTGCTTCTATGCAATATATTTCATATAAATTAGAATTGTTCATATTAATATTGGAACGTACTGTATAATGTAAATCGTGACAAATGCTTTGTAGATCTCGAATTATTCAATCAGTGAGTGAATCATATACCTAGTAATATGATTCAGTACCTTTTATCATAGTGTACAATACAATAAAAGTCTACAATCATCTCCACGATTTTCGACCCTTATTTTGAAGCTTCTCAGAATTTAATTACTTCTTAAAAAATATTGTATCGTTTTTCAATATATTAATTTTATGTTTATATTAAGAGTTTTTACTTATTCATACTTTATTTTCGAAACACCCTGTACATAAAAATTCATGAAACAATGGATTAATTTTTAATAAAATTAATGAAAACGGACACCTATTATAGTTTCATTTTTCAAATTAGTCCTCTTAGTAATTAATATAACCAATAATAGACACACTCAACATTACATAGATATTTACATACATTTACGAATAGAAATAGAAAAACTTACCAATGTTTCTCCGATTTGCCATAACATTAAGCGGTATTATGGCGCGATTCACTTCATTTATTTCACATAATGCAAAAATTATTGCACCGGATTTTTTAAAGAAAACATACACGTTTATTAGACGGGTACAACGAAAACAAAAATTAGCTTTCCTCTACAGCTGTTGCGAAACGACTGACAATTGACGTTTTCTTCCGTATTCGGTTCTCCTTATTTGGGGAGTCAACGCAATGCACATTCGCAGGATAAGGTTGGAGTAACTTAACCCAATCCCTTTGTAAAAACAAGGATACGCAGAAAAATTAACTAATAGAGATCAAATCAAAATTAGATATAATAATAATAATAATAGCTATATATGAGGGGGTGGGTGGCTCAGTGGTAGAGTCTCTGCCTGTGTATCCAAGGGTCCCAGGTTCGAATCCCACCGTTGGTCGAGATTTTTTCATTTAATTTAATTATTTAAAATTAATTCTGATGCTTTGGTAGGATTCCCCACTCGACCATTCACTGTTGGGTTCTAATTAACAGTGCTGTTCCTAAAGTGGCGCTGGGAAACAGTAAAAAGCCTGCACATAACACGAGGCGAAATAACCTTAGCAGTTGAAGCCGATGACTCAAAAAAAATAACTATATATGAAACCAGTTATAGAGATACTTTATTTTATGTAACAAGTAAATATTTGCCGGGTGAGCAAAGCGACCAAGTGCAAACTTGTATGACAGATGTAATTTTTGGCAGAAAACAAACCGGTCAGTCTGTTAAAAAATCGAGTAATATGTAGTTTTCTGGGTTTTTTATTTTACAGGTTTTACAACCTATACGAGATTTTAATAAAAAATTGTATTTAGGGTAAAAAGGAAAGGGGTATAAATTAAAAATTGTAAAAAATCAAGTGTTAGGGCTTTTTAGGTATACAGATTTATAATCTATAGACAATTTAAAAAAAATTGAAAGAAGGGGTTGTTAACATAAGTTTTTGCGTCGTGCTCAAATTTCATCTTGGTGCGATATGACCTTCATATCCACTCTTCTTGCACAAACTACTATTGTGTAGACCCATATAGTCGTGAATTCTGGTTCTAGATAGATCGTTTTGTATTTATTTGTTAATAAATTAATAGAATCTTAAGGACAGCGTCTCCTAGGAATTTCTGAACAAAATTATGTCAATTTAGATTCAATCAAGGAGGTGCTGTTACCTACCGACTAGAGATTGAATTAGTGCAAATTATTACAGAAATCTTTAAGTAACTATAAATATCGACCGACTAGCTATTAGGGGATATTGTATTATAAACCGGTTTTTAGTAGACTGAGTTCGAAGGATCATAATAATAGACCTGAACATAAAATCTATTTTTCAATAATTGCCGGGATTTTACCAAATAAAAAAAAAAGTATTTCGCGATTGTGAAAACGGTCCAATCGTTTTATATGCCATTTATAATATTATAAAAATGTTAACTCTAG